CGGTCAAGGAATTGAATCCAACCCCGAGATCCTTGTCCCTACTCCTTTCTTGCTGAGGTGAATCTCTAACTAACTCTCTTACTGCGTCTCGCTTTGCATTATCTCTAAAGCCTTATATTACTTTCTTTTCCCTCTATGCTCATATGCTTAACTTCACTATGAATTCCAGTTTATATGTACTGACGAGTTATGAATTTCGTTGAGCTGGATTCTGCCTAGCATTCAAATCAAATCCGAGGAATTTAATCTGTCAATGCGACACATCTTTACATCGTTTAGTTACAGTTACGAATACTCGATCTCCTTATCCAGCTCAATGCCACGTTTGTTGTTCATTAGCAAACCTTATTCCTTACACAATAATTGGCCTACGTGAGGGTGTTTGTTCTTACCTTAATAGTGTATTTGCTCATAGGTAGTAATGGATCGCAAGACGAGGAGCTTGACCTGAGGTTCTATTCCTAATGAGTCTGATGATAGTGGTGTAATCGTCATGGTTGCTTTTAGACAAAATGGCGCGGTACTCAAGAACATGCTGAGGGACTAGATGTCTCTGTCCAAAAAATATGGTCGAGGACGCGAGAGCTCTTACTCAATTCAGATATCGTGCAATGAATTTGGAATCTCATTCAACAGAATTGTGGACACCATAGGTTCCTTATTATGCTTGCAAAACGTCTAATGTGATCTCTGTTGAAAAGAAGCCTTGCTTATTAGATGTGATGAAGGCAACCTAATAAATTCATGGTAAATCGCATATGAAAATGAAGGTACAATGTTCTTGAGATATATAGTCTGCCCGATGCTAGTTCAGTGTGTTGGTAAAGAGTACTATAAGGTTATTTGTTTATATTGCTCCTGTAGTGAAATCATTTACTGTGCGCACTCCCTGGGGTTCTCTACAGAAAGTATATGTAAGACCCACATCCGTGGAGTGAAGTAAAATAAATCTCTTACTTATTATAACCAGCAGGGCGTTGTATGGGTGACACGATGGGTTCAACAGAAGAAGAATTGAGACTTATAACACCCTTATGAATTACCATATAAGCAATAAAATAAAAATAGTGGACTTGAATAGAATACTCTCACAAATTGTAACGGTATAGCAAAAAGGAGTTTTTGTAATACCTATAGAGACAAAAAACTTTAGATTATCAAGAACATACTACTAGTTAATTAATAAAAGAGTATGGCAAGGAGACAACTAAAAGTATATGACAAAATACTAGTCATTATTCGAGCCTCACCTCAAGATAAAAAAATGAAAAAAACTCGATAAATTTTATAGCGAACTAACGCAATCAATATACTCCACGAAGAGAAATTAGGTACTGTAATATAAAACCAAATCCCAGCTAGTGAAGCTCGCTAGATCACAAGGTATATAATGTGTGTCATGAAGGCTTCCACCATTCTATTATTAATGCGTATTCTATCCTTAATATTCGACTCTTAGGAACTTCTCAAATGTAGTTTGTGTGAAGATCTCATATCTATAAGATAGATATTAATAAAGTTCGTGCTAACATTTGTATTCAAATGGCTATAATCAGCTGTCAACCATCTATTGACATTTTTTGCCATAAATCAGTTTCAACCCATCTCGACTCATTTTGCAAAAAATCAGAACGTAGAAAATAACCGGTATTAGTTCGACCATTCTTTTTCCAGAATTCAGATTCGACACCTTGATCCTGCTCGTAACTCATTTTCTGCAAAATCAGTTCTAGACTCTTGGGTCCTTTGGAAATTTCTTCACTTGAACTCCGACTCATTCTCTGTTGAACCAGAGACTATCCCTAGGTGTCCATCAGAACTTGTCCTTCGGCCATTTTTGCAAAATTAGTGTCCTTAACCTATCATTCGAACCATTGTTTGAGGTCAGAATTGGTTCCCCCTTTCTTCATCATTTTTGCATAATTAGTCTCAACCCATCATGATCATTTTTGTAGAATCAGTCAACATATCCCTAATTATTTTTGCAGAATCAGTTTCAACGTCGTTCACAAATCGGACTTATTTCGCAAAATCATGATTCAACCCGTTTTTGACCCATTTTCTAGGTGAGAATCAGCCTTTAACATTTCGTCCTCGACTGTTTTTGTTAGAATTAGTTAAACCCGTCCTCGACCATCTGTAGAATCAGTTAAACCCTGTCCTCAACCTCGATCCTCTGCAGAATCAGTTCAAGCTTGCCTTTGATCAATTTTTGAGAATTCAATTCAATATCTATCGACTATTTTTGCGAATCAATGTTCACATAATGTATAATCAATTTTGGCTGATACTTTCTTTTACTTTAAATAATAAATATTGTCAAAACTTAATTGACATCTTAATTACTTATAAAATGAAAAAAAGCAACTTTTTACATTCGTTATGCCGAGTGGACCTTGGTTCGAGTGTGACCGTGCAAGAATTGAGGAGCGCATCGTGCGAGGCACGGCCAGAATTGTATACCAATCTTTATATATTTTATATAGACACCCAATTCTGGTATAGTTTACGAAGAATAGTAACATGGCGGAACGCCTATTTGTGTTGTGGCTTGGGTTACACCTTGTGATCTCTTCATACTTCGGGTATTTCTATAAGTTAGCATAAGAATTTACTTTTCTTCTTTCCCATCAAAATTAAGTTCAATAGCTTGTGATACAAGTTAACATTCTCTCCTTCAAATTAAATTAATCACTATATATTAATTTAATTTCTCTTATGTAGACTCCATCATGTGTTCAATCATTTGAGAGTTCATTGAACGATGTCTAAATGTATTAGGATATAAGATTGATGTTTGTTTTGTAATTTGGTCTTTTGTTTACTTGGATCAATTTTTTTATCCTTTTAAAAAGTTTGAGAGCATGTTTTATGTACCTGATGAAACAAATAAATTTGAAATAGGTTTTCCAAAGTCTCTTTCCCAAGTGTAAATATAATTGTTTTAGCTTTTGTAATAGCCTCTACCTCAACTAATGATGGGAAGCTCCTTCTTGCGGCAAAAATGTGTAGATGCCCAACCTGCACATAATACATTGTCTCTTTGAACCCCGAGAAACAAGGCGCCTAAGTGGCACGAACAACTCCAATGCTGGAGAGAGAAGTGTGAAAAGATACCAAAAATAAAGGTTATTTTCGTAAGGTAAACTCCAGAGAATAAAAAGCAAATGATGTCATCTTCACATTTATTATTGTTTGTCTCATTGAAAAGTTTAAAAACATATTGTTCCAATATAAAATTAAGTATTAAAAGTATACCCTATGTGTAATCGTTTGTCTTTCATTTAAAATTTGAAATTAGTTCGACATAACCTTATATTATTCCTGTTATACCCTAACAAAATGAAAATCTCGATTAAAAAAAAATGGTTTCACGCGTGAAACCCTTCTGTCTTCTACTTCTACCTATCTCTCTTCTCTCTATCCCACTCTCCCTTCAATCCCTCTCTTCTCCGCTCCCTCCCTCTCCATCTAAGCTTTTTGTGTGAGCAGCAGTGCATATATTAGTATATTAAGATTAAGAATAGTATTTGGCTAAACAAGGAAAGATCACCTCATTATTATCAGATTTCTTGCCAGCTTCGATGAGAACAAAACCCTTGATGTGCTCAACAGCAAACGCAGAAACAATCTGTAGTTTGGCACCTAGTGATTGGAAGTCAACAAACATTTGCATCATACAGAAGGCTGAATGCCTCTCGCGTCCAACCAACTGCCCAAAACATTTGACGCGTAGGGGAAGAAGATGGAAGGGGAAGGGAGAGAGAGAGGATGGACGGGAGAGAGATGGGTAGGGGAGAGAGGGGATTGAGATGATTTGTTTGAGTGTAACAAGAATAATATTAAAGTTATTGATTAATCGACCGTCAAATTAATTTAAGAGTTTAAATAAAAAAGAACCTCATAAGCCCTCAAAATGAGAACCTTATATGAGCTTTGCTCGATCTAAGTTTAGCGGGAATTTGAACAATAACTAAAAAAACTGTTTTTGTCCACTATTAAAGCAAGAATAATGGTGAGTGTGCAACTTTTCGTTCCCATTTGGGCACTAAGTTTTCTTTCCTCTTCAAATTTTCGATTTTGATTTCCGTTTTCTCCCTCCCTCTCTTTTTTTTTTCCTTTTCTTAAATGTTGGATTGGATTTGTATTCCACGTTGGTGTTTGCCTCACTCATATGCAGGCAGCAGATTTCTATTTTCGAGTTTGAATATAACATTATTTTATGGCCCAATTGGATTATTAGTCCCATGAGGATATGGTAGTTGGAAGATAGTACATGTGGTAAAAAATTAAGATTTTTGTCCGTGTGGTGAAGTCTATTAGGATTTAAGCCCGTGTGAGCCTTATGTGCTAATAATTAACGGAGAGTTAACAAAATTTTCAATTTTGGGTTTAAATTCTAACAGACTTCATCACATGGCTTAAATCCTAATTTTTTTACTTCATGGACTATTTTTCAACTACTCTATCACCACCGGACTATTAATCTAATTAAACCTTATTTTATTTGTTTATCACAAATTGGTGATTCCGATGACTTTATTTGTTTATCACAAATTGGTGATTCCGATGACTTTTTGTAATTCATTCCTTACTAATTTAGTCACCATCACTTACCACTTGACAATCCATCACCCAGAGTCCCAGACAAAGACTAGAAAAGAAATGAAAGCGTTGAGCCAAGTTTGGAGTAGAGTTTGTGGCCGATGCTAAGTGCCTGCTTTGTTAAAACAGTGGGCCAATAATAATATGACCTTTTTTTGTTTGTTTTATTTGTTGAGGATAATAGTGCATAGCAACACATCATACATTTAAATCCTTGCAATAAAAAATATGTAGTGGGAAGCATCAGAGGCACAGTAAATACTTGGCTGCTACTTGTTGGCCGATTCACAGAACATTTGGTCTATGATTGAAACCGTTATAATTATAAACACAATGTTTTGTGAATCAATTAGAAAGAGTTTTTGAGGAAAACTTTCATTGAGTTGCCAAGTATTATTCTGAAGTCATCGACTCATTGTATGGTAACCGTGCCTACTTATATGGACCAACTTTTTATGAAAATCACAACTTGTGTGGAGCAAAAGATGGCTTCAGAGATCAAGGTTGAAGTGATCCACAAGGAAACAATTAAACCATTCTATCCAACTCCTGACCACCTAAGAAGCTTGAGCCTCTCTGTTTTTGATCAGTATCAACCTGAAGTTTATATCCCACTACTTATCTTCTATCCCAACAACAATAACAGCGACAACAGCCAGGTCAAAAACAGTGATCATCGTTCATTGTTTGCCGAAAGGTCCATCCTTCTAAAGAAATCACTGTCTGAAGCCCTCACTCGATTCTACCCCTTCGCCGGAGAATTCAAATACAATGTTTCAATCAATTGCAATGACCATGGGGCTGCATTTCTTGAAGCCCAAGTCAACTGTCCTGTATCGAAGATTTTGAAAAACCCCGATTTTGAGATCCTAAAACAGTTGCTTCCAACTGATTGTATGTCCACGCAAGCTGAGACAGGATATCTTGTGCTAGTCCAGGCCAACTTATTTGAATGTGGAGGATTGGCAATCGGGATCAGCATTTACCATAAAGCCGCCGATGCTTTTACAACCACCACATTCATCAAATGTTGGGCTGCACTTGCTTTTGGCTCGGCCAGTAGTACTACTGATCACCACGTATTGCTTCCCGAGGAATTCGGTGTTGCAGCTTCTCTTGCACCATCCCATGATTCCTTCGACTCACCAGGAGCTCCTGTGACATTTTCTACGGAGAAACTCACAACGAGGAGGTTTGTGTTTGATGCTTCGAAAATTTCTGCTCTCAAGTTTAAGGCTGCTAGCGCCACGGTGCCAAACCCAACGCGTGTTGAAGTAGTATCGGCAGTCATTTGGAAAAGCCTAATACAAGCATCAAGATCGAAGTTTGGTTTTATGAAGCCATCCACATGGTGTGCAATGTTGAACTTGCGCAAACGATCGGGGCAGGCCGTGACAGAAAACATACAGGGGAATTTCGTGTGGTTCGCTGCAGCATTGACGACGGAAGAGCAGAGCGAAGTAGAGCTCGAGAGCTTAGTTGGTAAACTCAGGAAAGGGATTGCGGAATATAAGGAAAAGCATCCAAATGGAGTCAGTGGTGAGGAAGTATTTCAAACCATCAAAGCGTTTGTGAGCCTTTTCTTGAGAGGAGACTTAGAAATCTATACTTGCAGCAGCTGGTGCAGGTTTCCGTTGTATGAAACCAATTTCGGATGGGGAAAGCCGACATGGGTGACTTCTCAACCATTCAATGATTTATTTTTTTTGACTGATACGAGAGATGGTGATGGCATAGAATTGTCCTTGTCACTGAAAGAAGACGTCATGACCATATTCGAAAGCAGCGAGGACCTGCTCACGTATGCTTCTCTGAATCCGACTGTCATTTGATTGTTATCATCATCGATCATTCACCATCATCATTAATTCGTTTTGATGCTTGTACCTTTTGTGTGTGTGTGTGTTTTTTTACCTACTGTTGTTGTGTTGTTGATGTAGGACAAAAATTAGACTATTTCACATGCAATAAAATTAAAAGAAGGCATTGATGTAGGGCACAAATTAGATAATTTCACACACAATAAAATTAAAAGAAAAATGGCGATCAATCGAGAAAAGTGGTTGAAGAATTGGTAAATCACGTGTCAATAGATTATTTGTTGGAGCCATAACCCGGAAGTGTATGTTTTGGATTTTTCATATTGTCCGAATTGATGCAACTTTGATTTGACATATCTGTTTTAGTTTGACATGTCAAGTTTAAGGCAAAAATGATGTATTCAACTTCCAAAACAGCATTTTAATGTTTGTAATTAAAATTAGACTTCTGGCTTTCCTCCCAATTAATGTAATTTGTTTTCGTTTTAATTACCTAAGCCTTTTGAGATGCCCAAGGGTTGTAATACGTTTATTTAAACCATTTGACTTCTCATTTGTAACAATCTTTCTTCAATTATCATTTAATAAAAAACAACCTTTGGATTTCCAACCAAAAACTGGTGGATTCTAGATTACCGGTTCTTCAAGGATTTACACTTGTAACCCTTCTACGCTTGTACAGACACAGTTGTTTTTGAACAAAACTGTTGGTATACTTTCAAAAGAACAAGCAAATGTAACAAGTCGCAGGCAACCAGACTTATCAAGCCACTTCGAACTTTGACAGAACAACTTCCTCCCTTCCGACAAACTAATCCAAGCCCGAGGATGCACGACATCCTCTTGATGCAGTCTCCTCAAAGAAAGTATTTCGCCTTGAGAACCGTAGCCCGAAAATCCTCCAGATTATTCCATAAGCTGGATCATTGCCCCGATAGTTGTGCATGGTTAAACTCCTCCAAATCCCAGAAGCCCATAGTGGCTTAGGATCACCGAACGTTAAGAGGTCACGAAGAGCAGCCAACAAACTAATTTACATCTGCCTCATTCATTGTGTGATAACTAAGAGTCCATTTGATAACCATTCAAATTTCTCAGTAGTCTGTAATGTTAAGTGCCCAAGCACCTTGTGGTTAAGTGCGTGAGCAATAAATCGTCATGGTTACGGGTTCGAGTGCTGGTATTTGAAGAGAAAGATGATGATGGCCTAACCCGAAACAATTTGAACATAGCCCCTCACACGTTAAATTTGCATGACCAAATTTGATTTTGTCACAAAGTAGAGCTCATGGGATGAAAGAATGAAGTGATAACTCTCAAAAAATGTGTGCGGAAAACAAAATATTAAAAAAATATATACATTTATATAAAAATTAAAATAATTAAACCCAAAAAGTGGAGCAACAAAAAAATTATATTTATATATAAATTAAAGGATTATAAAGATCAAATAAACCAAATTTACAAATCAAATAATATATCACCAATAAAAAATAAACATATTAATCAATATTTAATAATTTAATTATCAACAATCATATTATTTAGTTTACAAAATTAAATTAAAAAAATTTAATCTCTCGACATTACTGAAAATTAAGATAATTAAACTCAAAAGTGGAGCAGTTGCTCCACGTTGCTGAAACTGCAAAATAAACCGCAGTGGTGGCTTCGTGCCTCTCCACCCGTCCCTTTTATCCAAAAGTGCTTTTTGAAGTCTATAATACAAGTGATATTAAAAAGCACCCGTTGATAAATTTTTCTGTCCGTCCGTAATACAAGTGATATTACGTATTATTGTATAAATTGTGAGAAATTTTACCTTTTGTTTTAATTTTTTCGCACAAAAACCTCAACACGTGATGTATCATTTCTTGTCTGTACACATTGAAAAATCTCTTTCACCATTGTAAGCAGCAAAGGGAGTTGACACCAAAGCACAGCAGCAGGAGACAAAACAAAAAGAACACGGCAAGGAGGAAGGCGAGAGGTCACGGCAATAAAAAGGAGAAGGAGAAAACCAGAAAAACAGCAGCAGGGAGACACACGGCAAAGAATGAATCAGAGAAGAAGAAACTTCAAAGACTCTTTGGGTATAAATTCGTTGTTTTAACTCCTTGGTTATTATTTTTTGTTGCTTCTCTTCACATTGCAGGAAAGAAAAAGAAGAAGCAAAGAAACACTTAAGCTTCTTCAATCTTCCTCTTTCCCCATGCAAGAAAAACGGAGGGACCGATGCGATGCCCCATGGCAGCCATTAGCAAAGGAGAAAATAGGAAGAGGAAAAAATCTCTCTTCCTTCCTCCTCAATCTTGCCGACAACGGGTAAAGCAACCCACCCCTCTGATAGGGGGGCGTTGCTTTGAAAACCCAGCCACCATCGAAAGATGCTCTGCTATCTCCCTCCTCCTTGCTCGGAGCCTCAACCCAGGACTCCTGCAGTCTGCGGCACCACCCTTTCTTCCACCGACAATACCAAAACGGGGTGGCCATCAATGGAGCTCTCTGTATCGAATCCCAAAAATCCTATCTTCCTTTCCAAAAAGGGGATCTCTGCAAATCCCAAAAAGATGACGCTGACTCCCTTCCTCTGGCCAAGCAGCGCCGATTCCCTGATGGCAGGCAGACCCGCCGCCCCATTTTCCGGGCAAAGAAGCTCTCTTGATGGACGGTTTGACCGGCCAGAGGTCCTCTCTCTGCAGGATATGATACCTTCACCATAACCGCCGCACCTCTCCCCGGAAGTTGGCGAAAGCCGTGGCCTCCAAGAAACGTGCAAAGCAGAAGCAACCCCGACTCACCATCTTCCTCCAGTCCGTACCCCCATGGCCAAACAAATGGACATTTCGCCAGCGATGAAGAATCGGATACTCAAGTTCTCAGGTTAATCCCACAACGGCAAAACTCAGGTCATTAACTTCCATGAACTTTTCGTAAGTGTTAAATCCCGCAAAGTATTTGGGTACAAAACTCATGCAGTTCTTGGATGCCAAATTCGTCTCAAACTCAGTTTCGTCTCTTCTTACAGCTACTGATCACAGTAAACAATCCAACGAAAACATGAGAGATCCCCGTCGTGATTTGCAAGTCCGCAAAATGAAGGAAGTGAAAAATAGCAATGGTGCTCTAGCACCTGGTAAAGTCGGCGAGCTATTAAGTGACTTTGCATGCATTGCTCACTAGTTTGTGCCAAAGGAAAGCAGAGTAGATGAAGGAAAGTGTGGACAAAAAGTAAGTTACAAGAGTGGGAAAAACACACCCCATGTCATTCACGTGGGTCATTCACTTATTGAAAATCTAGAACTACGCTGGTTTGATTCTGTCAATGATACGTAGACAATCTAGTTTCACATTCTAGATGCAACTGCAAAATCAAAATACTAAATCGAATCTCTGGTTAATTTAAGGGTGTTTTAGATTTTGGCCCTTACAACTCATTATTTCTAAATAAAAACTCATTTATCTTTAAAGATTCAGTTTAAGCCCAAATTTAAAATTTGCAAACATATGGGAACACTATTGACCTATTAATACAATTTATTTACACCCCTGCCACTCATACTTTTTGGTCCCTTTTCCAAATTCCTAAATTTATGCCAAATTAAAAGTAGTAGAAAAAGTGAAATAAAATGTAAAAAGTGTTTGCATTAACCGTATCCATGTCAAACTAGAAAAGTAGTTTTTTTTTTCGTGATATATTTTGCAGCAATTTTATCCATATTAATTGGTAGGTAAATTAGTTTGTTCCATTTATTTTTAAAAAAAAATACTACACCTATATTATATATTTTGAATCAAATAACATTCCTCTAACTTGTAGGTAAATTATTTTCTATGTATTGTTATATATGTTAGACACGTTTTGCTGTTGTATAAGCATGAGTGGAACATAATATTGTTGATTTTATACATCAAATTGCATTTCTTTTGTTATAGGTAAATTATTTTCCATGTACAAGTACTTATGTTAGGCACGTTTTGTTGTTGGTACATATAATATTTTGTATCATTGTAAAGAAAGATATTACATTACACCCATGGTACAATTGTTGTAGGTAAATTATTGGAAATTAATTTGTAGTTAGGTAATGAACATTTTGCATCATTGGAAATGAACATTTCAAATAGTAGGTAGGTAAATTAATTTGTTCTAATTATATATAAAAAAATTACACTACACCTAGTTATATTTAATTTTTCTAATTATTAAAAAAATTTATACTACACCCAACCAAATAACATTTCTCTAACTTGTAGGTAAATTATTTTCCATGTATTGTTAGATATGTTAGGCACGTTTTATAGTTGTATAAACATGGGTGTAACATAGTATTTTTAATACTATGCATCGAACTACATTTCTTCTTAATATAGGTAAATTATTTTCCATGTATTAGTACATATGTTAGGCACGTTTTGTTGTTGGTATAAACATTATTTTGTATCATTGTAAAAAATAGATATTATATTACACCCATGGTATAATTGTTGTAGGTAAATTAATGTGCATGTAGATAATGAAATACAATGTTCTAATATATTAATAAAAAGAAGGACAAATTCAAAAGTATTCAAGAGTAGGGTGAAAAAAAACTGAATCGAATAGTTTTATGAAAATTCTAAGCCTTTCTAAAAAATTAATATGCAATAAATTTTTAACATTAATGTGTTTTTTTTTTCTTGTTGCAAAATCATTTCCTCTCTCCTTACAATTAATTGTCTACATCAAATATGTAATAGGGGTATTTTAGGCATGTGAAAATGTAAAATGTGTGAAATAATATGAAATTAATGAATTTGCTTATGTGGATCCTAGTCATTGGGTTTTCTTTGAGTAAAAAAATTATGTAGGGTTTTATATGAAGAAAATTGAGTTTGAAGGGCTAAAGTCATATTTTCAGTTAATTTAACCAAGTTCACCACAAAACTGAAATCAAATCCCTAGTTCATTCATTCAACCAAATTCACCCCAAATCCAAAACCAAATCCTTGGTTCATTCAACCAAATTCACCACAAATCCAAAACCGAATCCCTGGTTCATTTAACTAAGTTCACCACAAAACTAAAATCAAATCCCTAGTTCATTCAACCAAATTCACCCCAAATCCAAAACCGAATCCTTGGTTCATTCAACCAAATTCACCACAAATCCAAAATCGAATCCCTGGTTCATTCAACCAAGTTCACCACAAAACTAAAATCGAATCCCTAGTTCATTCAACCAAATTCACCACAAATCCAAAACCGAATCCATGGTTCATTCAACCAAGTTCACCACAAAACTAAAATCGAATCCCTAGTTTATTCAACCAAATTCACCACAAATCCAAAATTGAATCCCTGATTCATTCAACCAAATTCACCACAAATCCAAATTAAAATCTTTGTTCATTCAACCAAATTCACCCAAATAAATCAAACACAAATCCTTTTTAGTAGGTCATTCACTCACTAAAAATCCCCAAACCAAATCAAAGGAACTACGAGTAACTTGATCTAGGTTCAGTCACAAAATCAAATAAGCACACCAATCCCTAAAATTCATATTTTTTCAAGTTAGAATCAAAGAGTATTCCTTTCCAAAGGAAGGGTTGTAATTAATAGACGTCTAGTCTAAAATGGAATAAACTCTCCTCGGAAAAATGGACGATGATACAATTGTGTCAAGTAAATTATTTGTTCTCGTAACAACTTTTGGTCAACAAACTCATTCAAAATATATCTTCATAAAATTTGGGCAGCGAGGTTTATGATTTCCACGTTTAGTCCAGTGTCGTGGATTAGTCTGCGTAAAACAGATTGGACATGAATTCTTTCATCTGGCTGACTCCAAAGGGCTTGAAGGACTTCCAGAGGAAAAACAGGTGCAGGCTGCGCAATCAACCGGTGGTCACGAAACTCATTCCGTTCAAACTAGAAACAAAGGACAGACAGACTAAATCTGATACATTTAAAAGTATTTCTTCAAGGAGTTCATAAATAGGAGAATATTGTATCATCAGGTAAAATGTGCAGCTTTACTCTTAAATTTTCCAAATTTCTTTACTGTTTCGTTGAAGTCTTAATTGTTCTTATGCTAGTCAATGGACTCATACTTAATTTAATGTAAGCAATCTCTATTTGCATCAGGAAGAAGATTGTTCATCTGATAGAATTTTAAGAAAACGGAGCTTTTGGAGAGACTGTTAGGATTTAAGTTTGGAGTTGATTTCATGTTGGAAAGCCTTTGAATTTCTGAAAATTTTAAACTTTGTTCTTTGTTGTAATGTAGGTCTGAGATTAGAACCAGCTCATAGGCTAGATGTTTGACATCTGTCATAGCAGATGGCTGTTTTACATTTATATGGACATGGTAATGCAGACTAAATTTGGAGATTAAATTGTCAAACTAAATGACATGTCATCAATAAGAATAAACATGTTTATCAACGTATAAGTAATAAATCAATCAACTTCTATGTCCTTTAGTTTTCAAAATTTAATCTCTCTAGCATTATGAATAATAGTGAGCGTGTGACTTTTCATTCTCATACGGGCAGTAAGTTTTCTCTGTTTCCTCTTCAGACTTTACGATTTTGTTTTCCGTTTTCTACCTCCCTCCCTCTTCCTTTTTCTAGGGGTCACTTTTATTTTAAATTTGCTATTTTTGTGTACGTCTATTCTGATCGTTTTAATGAATATCATACTTTTTATATATAAAAAAAATGATATATGCATATAATTACTAGCACGACCTATCAAATTTAATAATGCATGATTATTGACAACTCGTTTTTTCATATAATAAATATTTATATTTTTTTATTAAAAATAAAAACGGTTCGATTGTAGACCAAAGCAAATACTACAATAACCATAACCGAACCCAAAATCAAAAAATTTATTTGACGATTATTCATAACCGTAAAATATCAAAAGATTAATTTCCGAGACCGAACCGTTCGGATCGGTTCCATCACCCCAAACAAAGACTAGAAAAGAAAAGCTTTGAGCCAAAGTTGGCAGTAGAGTTGGTGGCCGATGTTAAGTGCTGCTTTGTTAACACAGTGGGCCAATAATAATATAAGACTTATTTGTTTTATTGGTTTAGGATATTAAATAATAGTGCATAGGAACATAGCATGCAACGTCCAGATTCAGATTATGCAATTGGGTTTAAAAGAACATATCACTCATCATACTCATTAGACCTATAAACGGGTCGGGTTTATTGGGTTTGGGTCGGGTTGAACCCGACCCGTTAAGTTAACGGATCATCCGAACCCAACCCGTTAAGCTAACGGGTCACCCGAACCCGACCCGTTAAGCTAACGGGTCACCTGTTTCACCCGTTATCATCCGTTAACAATTATTATTATTATTATTTTTGCATAAAGTTTATTTTTTATTATTAAGACTTTACTAAAATTACTAAAATATCCTCAACTAACGGGTGCTAACGGGTGTTAACGGGTCTAACGGATTGACCCTAAGTGACCCGTTATTTAACGGGTTGTTAACGGGTTCACCCGTTAGCGACCCGACCCGTTAAGTATCCACCCAAATACAAATATTAACTGGTTAGGTCGGATCGGGTTAACGGGTTGGGTCCAAAATGCCAGGCCTAATACTCATCCCACTTCATATTATATAAAATACGTATACGTTTTGGGACGGCAAGATTCCAGGTTTTCTGTGGAGGTTGATATGTGGAATTGAAGTTTGAGTTGAGACTGATAGTGATTTATCAAATTGAATTTTAACTGGTGTTGATGCTGTTTGATTTGATGTTTGATAAATAAAATTGGGCAACCTGAGCTAACCCGAGTCAACTTGAAAACGATTGAAACACGAGCGCAAATGAATCTACAGGAACCCGAATGTGAGTCCGATTATAGGTTGCGTTAGGGACCTAGGGTTAGTTGCCCCCTCCAATCCACCCCCGAATTGCCTAGCGTGGGATATAAGGTCATGAATAATACTTAGCTGCTACTCTTGGCCACTTTACATAACTTCTTGTTTATGGTCGAAACCGTTGTAAACATAAGTACAATTTTTTGTAAATCAGTCAGAAAGTGTTTACGAGGAAAACTTCCTTTAAAACCTTGAGTAGCCAAGAATTATTGACTCATTGTGTGGTAGGTAACCCTGCCTACTTATATGGACCAACTCTTTATGAAAATCCTAACTTGTGTGGAGCAAAAGATGGCTTCGGAGATCAAGATTGAAGTGATCCACAAGGAAACAATTAAACCACTCTCTCCAACTCCTGACCACCTTAAAAGCTTGAGCCTCTCTGTTTTTGATCAGTATCAACCTGAAATTTATATCCCACTACTTTTCTTCTATCCCAACAAAAATAACAGCGACGACGGCCAGGTCAAAAATATCGATCATCCTTCTTTGTTTGCCGAAAGATCCAACCTACTAAAGAAATCACTGTCTGAAGCCCTCACTCGATTCTACCCCTTCGCCGGAGAATTTAAATATAATGTTTCAATCAGCTGCAGTGACCGTGGGGCTGCATTTCTTGAAGCCCAAGTGAACTGTCCCGTATCGAGGATTTTGGAAAACCCCGATTTTGAGATCCTAAAACGGTTGCTTCCAACTGATTGTATGTCCACACAAGCTGAGACAGGATATCTTGTGCTAGTCCAGGCCAACTTATTTGAATGTGGCGGATTGGCAATCGGGGTCAGCATTCACCATAAAGCTGCCGATGCTTTTACAGCCGCCACATTCATCAAATGTTGGGCTGCACTCGCTCTTGGCTCGGCCAGTAGTACTACTCACCACGTACTGCTTCCCGAGGAATTCGGTGTTGCAGCTTCTCTTGCCCCATCCCTTGATTCCTTGGACTCACTAGGAGCTCCTGTGACATTTTCTACGGAGAGACACGCGACGAGGAGATTTGTGTTTGATGCTTCGAAAATTTCTGCTCTCAAGTCCAAGGCTGCTAGCGCCACGGTGCCAAACCCAACACGTGTTGAAGTAGCATCGGCAGTCATTTGGAAAAACCTAATACAAGCATCAAGATCGAAGTTTGGTCTTATGAAGCCATCCATGTGGTGTGCAACCGTGAACATGCGCAAAAGATGGGGGCAGGCTGTGACAGAAAACATACGGGGGAATTTCGTGTGGTACGCTGCAGCATTGATCACAGCAGAGAGCGAAGTAGAACTCGAGAGCTTGGTTGGTAAACTCAGGAAGGGGATTGAGGAATATAAGGAAAAGCATCCAAATGGAGTCAGTGGTGAGGAAGTATGTCAAACCGTCAAAAGGTCTGCGGGTCTTTTGTTGAGCGGAGATATAGAAATGTATACTTGCAGCAGCTGGTGCAGGTTTCCGTTGTATGAAACCAATTTCGGATGGGGAAAGCCATCATGGGCAACGTCTCAACCATCCAATGGTTTAATTTGTTTGAGTGACACGAGAGATGGTGATGGCGTAGAAGCGTCCTTGTCATTGAAAGAAGACGTCATGGCCAAAATCGAAAGCAGCGACGACCTGCTCTCGTATGCTTCTATGAATCCGACCGTCGTTTGATTAGTATCATCATCATCTTTAATTCGTTTTGATGCTTGCATACCTTGTGTGTGTGTGTGCGCGTGTGTTTTTTTTCTCCCACCTTGTTGTGTTGTTTTTGAACAAAAGTGTTGGCATATTTTCCAAAGAACAAGCAAATGTAACGAGTCGCAGGCAACCAGATTTGTCAAGCCACTTCGAACCTTGACGCGACAACTTCCTCCCAACAAACTAAACAAGCCCAAGGATGGACGGTATCCTCCGGACGCAGTCTCCTTGACGAAAGTATTTCGCCTGGAGAACCCTAGCCCGAAAATCCTCCGGGTTATTCCATAACCAGGCACATCGCTCCGATGGTAGTGCTTCGTTAAACTCCTCCAAATCCCAGAATCCCATATCGTAGGTTAGGATCACTGGACGTTAAGAGGTCACACAAAGCTGCCAACAAACCAATTACATCTCTTTCACTCATTGCGTGATAACTAAGAGCCCGTTTGATAATCATTTCAATTTCTAGTTTCAGAAAAATATAAAAACTGAGTACCAAAATCAAGTTGAATTTTAAAAACTCAAAATATTAAAAACTGAAAACAAAATGATCATCAAACGGCTCTAAATATCTCTAGCCAAACAAACAAACTTATATGAACTTTGTGTTTGTTTTAGAATTACTTGACTCCGTAATCAGTCATAAGAAAAATAATCCAAAGATTGTCTCTTTAACTTTTCAACGAAGGCCACACTAAACATTTCAGTATATAAAGGGAAAAAATTTCCGCTGTTTTTTGTTTCTATAAATTCCTGTTTATTTTCGCTTTTAATTCTCCTTTGATCTTTTTTTTTTTGAAAAAAATAATTCGCCGCTAATTTTATTCAATTCGAAGACCAAAAAGAAACAGGGGGTGCGCCGGTGATAAAAGCGTGCAAAACTCACTTCCCTATATAAAAGCACCAAGGAGATGCTCAAAACTTCTAACAATGCTTCAAACAATGGTTGAAATTTAACACAACACTTTTGTCCATACAAGCACTTTGATAGCAAAATTTTCAACCAATCAGTTGACCCATATAAAAATCAAACTATTGTTAAGTAATAAATTTTACCTCCAATGCTTAAACCTTGCAGCCCAGCGTCAAAGCAGCAGCTACTTCAGACAACAGTTATCGTTCGAGCAGTCACATAAATTGGTAAAAAAACAGAAGGGTAAGAAGCTGATTAGCTGAACACTGCAATAAGGTGTATAAGACGATTGCTTACAATTGCTAAATTGAAGGAACATTGATTGATACGAGAAACTGATTTACGTTCTAATGAATGAAATCCATCAACTGAAACTTTACATTCTAAAATATTAAGAGTGTCAATGCTGTGGTAACACCGGTCTCTTCTCCAACAACTCGTAATGCACAATAAAATTATCCTGCGCATAAAATATAGGTTCAACTCGGGACTACAATTTGTCAAGTTAGGATAAAATGCACGAAATATAATTCAATCAGTTTACCTTTCGGATAGTTTCAAAGGTATTGGGATCAAAGCAGTGATAAGATCCTCTCTCACACGTGTTGGTCTTCACAAGTGGTTCCATGTTGGGTACTCTTATGAACCATAGGCGGTGTTCCTTGTGATAAAACCAGCCTCTATTATTTCTGCCAACAACAAATGTCATACAACATTTTAGTACACACCAATCAAGGCTTGTTTATATATATTGCTGAACATTAAACACTCTTAAGTCGTAAAAAGAAGGGCACATAGGATTTAAAACATGATCTCAAAGAAACTGTTAAGAGGTCAAAAGCATTCCATCACTATAAGCTCTTAAGTGGACAAACGTACGCATATTATGGGGTTTTTAAACTTTTTATATAAGGGAAATAATACAAATTTATAAACAAATGAACACTTACAGTTCATTGGCAGCATATAATTGGGCCTCGTCTTTGGGCATGCTGCAAACAAAAGAGAATGACTCTGTGAGTTCAATACTTTGAAAATTGAAAATAACTTGAGAGGTCCAACAAGAAGCACCTGTAAAAGATATAGAACAACGTTTCCACAGAAAACTTTGAAAAATACCCTTGCTGCAGCCACCAATTTGAGTTAGAGCACAGAGGCACAATATACATGAAGAAGATTGAATTTGCAAAAAGATTTTTAATAAAAAGAACAGCTCACATGTAGTACAGGCGGTTGTTAGCATAGTAACATTGCGGAACACTAAACTCTGGATCACCCTTAGCCGGCTCGTCAGACCATGGGGAACCAAAAGTCTTGTGAAGGTTTTCTGTTGAATTCAAGTTTAATCCAAGCGTTGTCAAATCAATTCCAAGTGCAAGAGATGTAAGATCAGGATCACTCATCCTTATGACACTTAACAATCCAAGCAAACCAAATAGGTCTGGAGCAGATTGCGCTGACTGCATCGATTTCATTCCCTGATCCCTATATGATTGATTGCCAGCTGACATCTGGTGCAGGCGAAACTGGGATTGATTTTGTTGTTGATACTGCTGAATAAGCTGGTCATATGAACCCATGCCAGAAACTGAATTGGCAGAATTCAGAGGTCTTAATCCAATGCCAGGAGGTCCTCCACTAGTCTGAATCAAAAGTTTTAGATGTTAGATCCCACAATTACTAAAGAATTTAAATAAATGCTTATAACTCAAGCTTTTCCCGATCTGAGGATAAAAAACCATTCAACTTTCCTGATGTACTAGAATCGACTTATTTGGACCAACAAATCATTTTGAATCAAATCATCAGATATATACCTACAATCATAAGAATATGTTTTCCAATCCACGTTGAATGACACCATAAGAATAAAATCACCATACAATCTATTCCCACAGTGAAACCCCATTATAACAAAAAGAATAATTTGTGAAACCAAACTACCACACCTGTGAATGATATGTTGAATGTGATGATGGGAATATGTCTGAACCATGCATATGGAGAAGATCCTGATTGTTTACTTGTGAAAACGAGACACCACTACTGCTGACTGATGGAGCATGTTGTTGCTGTTGTGGCCTATGAGAAGAATAAGTTCCCCCCAAGTTAAATCCTGAGGACCGTCCCATCTGCAAAACAATATACATAGATATAAGGGCTTAGAGAAATTTGGAGCAAGTAATAATCCAAGGGCAAGGGGGGAAAAGGACTCTTCTTTGATTTAGAGCTTAGAACCCACTGGGAAGTGCTGAGATTGCATCATCGACACAGCATTGTCATGGAGTTGTTCTTTCTGGTGCATATTGATCCCATATTCAGCATCACCACCTGCTGAAGATCTAATAATAAGGTCAAAAATGCAAGTAGGCAAGCAGCCTCCCCTACAGGAATGTTGTTCAACCATTCAAGCAGTATGTATATGTGGTGAAACGACATAATGCTAAGTCCTTGGGGTTATCCTAAGCAGTGAGGGAGGAGGAAATGGTTTAGGAGTATGATAGGTCAAGGGTTACATGATTACATCCCTTCAGTTGTAACAAAAAAAAATGGTAGATGAAAGATATATTGGCACCCATGATTATCTGACACTGCCTAGTTCCTCAGCTCAAAGGGTGCCCTTCTATCCATCCTTCCACAATTCTCCCTCCACTCAACCACACAACCCACCAAAGAGAAAAAAGAATAAAAGCCCCAAACACAATCCATTATCACAAGTCTACCTCTGTCGCCAACAATTGTAATGCACTTTCCTCATACACAACTAAAGAACACAACAGGGGATGGTTAGAGAAATTAGGTAAAAATTAAAGGATGAACATAGCAAGTATATATGGAGGCTACATTATTTTGTGAAGAGGTCAGCAGACTAGCAAAATGGCAAGTCATTTAGGTATTCTGTCCACTATTTTCATAGATTAGTAACTAATTTAATTTTTGAAACACAAGAGAAGGATGTCTTTCAAGATAATCTAGTGGAGGTAGGAGCAATTGACTAGAAGAGCAAAACTCCTTTCCGATTGTTCTATTTCATATAGTTTTGGGAGTATGTTAATCATATTTGGGGATATATATGTTTGAGAGAGCGAGAGAGAGAGAGAGAGAGAGAGAGAGAGAGAGAGAGAGAGAGAGAGAGAGAGAGTGTGTGTGTGTGTGTGTGAGAGAGAGAAAGAGAGAGAGAGAGTGAGCGTGTGCATGTAGTGTGTGTGGTGTGTGAGAGAGAGAGAGAGAGACAGCGTGTGTGGTGTGTGAGAGAGAGAGAGAGAGACAGCGTGTGCATGTAGTGTGTGTGTGAGAAAGAGAGAGGTGAAGTTGAATGAAAATTCAGAATACCCTCAATATTCTAAAACTTGGAAATAAAAATGTAAAATCACCAAAAAAATGACACGTCAAAGAATACTAACATCTGAAAATCACCTACCGAAGAAACATTTCTCAAAATATTAAATTTCAAACTCTAAAATATATCTAAGTCTTGGTTAACTTAACATTTAAATTATGCAACTGCAAAAACGAATAATCTAATCAACTTATAAATGAATATATCGCGCACCTTTAAATCCCGGTAAAGCTGGAAAGTCCTCATTTTGGATGCTGAACTCTTGGTTCTGTTGAACAATAGGACTAACACCAAGGCCTTGTTTTCGTAGTGAACCTAAAAAAAATTCTGTATATTATATTCCAATTACTGTATAGAATACAACCAAAACTGCATCATATTTCTTTACTAACCCAACTGCCCCTGAGGCCCTCCCGCAGAACTGGGACGACTTGTTAATGAAGGGAAATCGTTGATGTCAAAAGGAGAACTGTCATTAGAATTCACATCATTCATTATTCCCATCGAGCTCAAATTATTCACTTGGACATGGCTTTGAGAAAGTGGACCACCAGCATTAGGGTAAGAGTTTCCTAGCATCGAAATTACTTGCGGAGACCCTGAAACCAGAAAATTATGTACAGGAAGATTCCGTAAGTAAAATTTGATAAAATGATAAAACAATTTCATTTCAGCACCAGACAGCCATATGCAATAACAACCAATACAGCTGAGCCTGCTAATTCTTGGACTGCTATTCAAACCTAAAAACTAAGGAACTACACCAAACTGTGTTACAACAATTCAACAGAATCCACCAAGGTATTAAAAAAAATTATAGTATTTGCATTAATTACCAAATTAATAAGCAAATGAAATCTTATAACAAATCGTGAACCAAAGCTCAAATTCATTTCAAACATCAAATCTTACTAGAACCTAAGTCATCAGTCTCATAGATAAGGCCTTCCACAGTAGGCTGGGAAATTGAGTTTGTTTCCAATTTTGTAGGAATCAAATTCATACAATAGTCCAAAAAATTTGAGTTCTATGAGCGTAATTCCAACTCTGAGTTCAATATATTGAACTCATGAGTTTGATTCCTATACAATAAATGACAAACCCTTTAAAAGAAAATGGAATAACCAATATGAGAATAAAAATTGGACGGATCCCGCAACTAATAGATATAACTCACCTCTCTCAAACTCATACCATTGTAGTAATTGCGTTATAGGAATCAAACTCACCTTAACCACTGCAGAAGGCCTAACTATAGTTATAAAGCACGAAAAGAACTAATTCCATAAGGAAGGCAATATACCTTGTGGTAGCACACCACTCATCAAGCGATTTTGCCCTTGTACAGTTAAACTTCCAGATCCACCATTTCCGCTTAAATTCAGACGAGAAGCAAGACCAGGCACCGACAAGCCTCCACCAGTGCTAATACTCCTCCCAATGTTTCCCCCACCAACCATGTTTCCCATGGAACTTGTAATCCGAGGACCTGCATTTCCCAAAATTGGGGACACACCCAATCCTGAAACAGCACTCCGGTTACCAATTGCAGCAGATGTAGGGAGAATCCCAGGAATAGAACCGCCAATTCCATTTGTGCTACTACTAAATCCAGGGTTTCCTACTACACTTATACCTCCTCTATTAGTGACTCCTGAATGTGCATGGGAGCTTCCATGAGATAACTGCAAAAACAGTTTTTTTTTAAGGAAAATATGGGAGAAGAGTAAAATACAAGACAAAGAAAGACAGAGAGAAGCAGAGAGAGAGGTTCATCGATTATGTCACTGCTCTCAAAACTACAATTAGCATATGAAATACATATCCCATGCACCTGAGACAAAGCAACAGGAAGGTTATTTGATGTGAATCGTCCGCCAGAGAGGCTTCCAGCTGGTTGTTGGACTCCACCAGAAGGAACATTATTTATTGTTGAGTTTCTTGATGTTAATGTACCCGGCATGTTGGGAACATTGAAGCTCCCATGAATATTATGCAATCCCTGCATACTTCCTGCAGAAAGAAACTTGAAATTTCACTAACATTGACACTAACACAAGAAACTCAAGCAATAGTAACCCACCTGAGTGATGAAAAACGGGAGAAGCTGCACCAGATTGACCAGAGAAAGATGATGCAAATCGCCCACTACTGTCTGGGAGATTTGAGGCTGATCCGTTTAGAGAAGACTGCAACCAAAAGCAAATTAGGTTTCCCGTGATAAATGAACAAATTATGCAACACATATGAAACACAAAACACATATCAACACTAGAGACTTTAAATTCCTCTTAATCCTAAAAACCACAACTGCAACAATAACCGTAAGGAATACAATATTTGGCACTGTTTTGTCTACATAAAATTAGAAAAACTATTCAATATTGTAACATTTCTTGCATACTGCAAAAATAATTATAGTTCATCATGCAAAACATAACACTAATAAACAATAGACATGCATGAAATCACCAAAAATTTAGAAACAAAAGCATACAGCATCATGGTCTGACCATAAACTATTTGCAAATAAAGTGCAAATCCTAACGAGCATCTCACGACAATGTTAAAATTGAAGGGGAAAAAAGCCGTGTATAAGTGCAAGTGCTTGGAAAGATGCATGAACAGACAAATGACACATTTCTTTCAACAACAAATCCAGAGTTCAATCATTAAACAATCCAAAACCTTACATGATTAGACAGACTTGTTGGGAAAAAGATAACATTTTGAGTCAAGAAGACAATCTTAATATCTTATACACAAAATTTACTGTAGAGAAGTGATATGGACAAAAGACTGTACATTAAGTAAACCCGACATTGCATGAGCATCAAAAGGTCATGCAATAACGCATTCCTTGCTTCCTTGCCGAGAAATAACCCTTCCTTGTACGAACAACTTGATATATCTTCTCCGTTAACAAATAACCTATAGCCTGAAAAGGACAACTTGATAAATCTTCTTTGTTGACAAATAGCCTACAGATGCATCCATAATAATTCAATAACTTGGCATCAACTTTAGTACAAAATAATTCCGCACAGATACACAACCAACACACGCAAACACACATATGAGAGATTATGGTAAAGTACAAGTATTCATTTCATTTCTTTTATAACCCAGGACTCAACATGTCAACCTTGCTGACACAGCTTCTAAACTGGATCCATTGCCTACCCCTACAATCTTTGGGGGAATGAAACAATAGCCATTGCAAGGTAGGTACCTTCGGGTTTCTAACCTGAGACCACAAGGTACAAGCCGTAGTTCTTAAGTCCCAAACTGGGTTTTCTTAGGCAAGGAATTGACACACTATAATCAGCTTTACAGAAACCCAAAATCTTCTACGTAATAATTTTGCAATGACTAACTAAATTACTAATGCAATGTATCTCCTGCAGCATAAGGTGTCCAGATTTTTTAGGAACTCTCGACTTCCCAAACGCAAATGAAACTATCAATTACTATAACAACATAAAAAATCAGATTCCCATAGATGGTATTTTCAATTACCATGTCAAGTTCCATAAAACGAAAAGGTAAACTATACAATATCTTAAAGGTGAGCAATCCCAAGAAGAAAATTACAGAGTTCTCCAGTAACTTTCTCAGATTCCCACAGACTTAACCATCTGCTTCCCAATTTCAAATGCACTTTAACTCACTGAAAACATTTTCAAAAACATCTAACACCATTTCAAAATCAAAACACGCCACCGGAACGTTGTAATATGCTTCACCAAAGATTAACTCATAATTCGAGACGTTCCACAAACTACCCCATTTTCAATCGCTAAAATATTCACAAGCTTCTAAAACGAAAATTTAAAAAAAAAAAAAAAAAAGGAAAAGATCTCAAGCCATAAATTCTAACGAATACAAAACCTAACACTTAAATCATAAACTCCACCACTTTCTGGTTTCTTCATTAATCCAAATTTTCTCGACAGCCAAACAAAATGCAACGCAACGCACACTAGCCTCAGTCATTTCGATGTTAAAATCCTAAAATCAAAAACCCTAGGAGAGAGAGTGATGTTGCTAGGGCACCAAAACCAAAATCTCCTCAACAGTCACAGGCGCGAGGATCCACGAAAGAGGAACGAACTCGGAGCGATTGGAGATCGAACTCGGACCGAGTCGGGATCGAGTCCGACTCGGGGAGAGAGGAGAGAGTGAGTACCTGAGGGAGCAGATCAGCGAGAGCGAGGGTTTGGGGGTCTGAGTCAAACAGCGAGTTAGATTGCCCTAAAGAGAGAAGAGGAGAACGTCAGAGAGGGAAGAAAATGTCGAGATTTTTCAATGATAAAGTTCGGTGTAGGGAGAAGAGAAAAGATCGTATGCGGCGGCGAGTACTTGTGGTGGAGTGGGCCGCACTCTGTGGCTATTGGGTGACTGTTGGATCTGATAATTTAGGTGGGCCTGGGTGCAGGGTAATAAAGGAAAATTGTAATTTAGTGAAGACAATCTCGACTGCCAATTGTCGGTTGTTGTTGTTTCTATTGCCCAAAAGCAAAGTTGTAATTTTTTACTTTTATAACGAAATGAAAATACAATTTTGCTTTTAAACATTTTTTTATTTATTTTTTTAACAAACGACGTAATGTACATTAAGAAGTACGGGATTAGGCTAAGTTTCGCAATGGAGTAGCAATAATGTAGTTCAAATTCGTCTTTGGCGATAATTGAACCTAAAACCTCATATATAAGTTTTTGTGAACCTAAAACCTCGTATATAAGTAGATAAAACATCATAAGATAAAAATCGGGAATAAAAGCATAATTTCTTTTGTGAAAAAAATATTCAATTCTTATATATTAAGGTGGTATACTTGATTTCTAGACTCTTGTTGTAATTTATAAGTTTTGTCTGAAACAGTTTTTCTCGAGAAGATTTTTTTTTTTTTTATAGAAAAAAAAGTCAGAAATACAGCTATATAAGTGTCATATTATAATTGGTTAGAATTGTTTTTCAAATTTTCAACCAATTATACTCTAATAATTGATTCACTAAACTGTATTCTCAGCATACTGAACTGTGCAAGGATCCAGGGATCATCTGCACATAATTTTTGAACAAGGCATATTCATGTTTTCCATACAATATCTCAAGAGTGTTGCCATCCACACACCTTTTTTACCTTTCACATATTTCATGTAAATTTATGTCATTTAATCCTCTTCAGCTCAATCGACCGACAACTGAAAATTAAGAGAATGTTGCTACTATCCCAGTGGGCTTTTTAGATCTGCCATCGAAGTGAAGTGCTGCCCCTTTTCGGCTAGGCCCATAAGGGCCACTGTTGCAGCATAAGCACCTTCTTGCCACCATCTCACTCATGTCAAAACGAGAAGAGATCCTCCATCAAGATCATCGAATCAAATGATCTAGGCTTTTAAAATTTCATCTAATGACAAAAAATTATTATAACTTTTAAAGGATCAAAACAGGTGGGCCGTTAGATGAAATTTCAAAGGCCCGGATCACTTGATCCGATGACCTTGGTGGAAGAGATCTGGAAATGATATCTTCTCGTTTAAACACACTTCACCTCTTTCTCCAACTCCCCAATCCCTTTTTTTAATTGAAGGTAACGAACTCGGAACTCCCCAATCCCTTAACTCGCATAGAGTTGCATAAATTGTGTCGAAGAATGCACTGGATGAGCAAATCATAATCTGTAATGGTTTTGAGGATGAAATACAAAACAATCAATGAATGTTATGGGTGTTTTAGCCATTAGATTTAATTTCTACAACGATTAGATATTATATTTTCAATCGGTGTTGCATACTACTAAAGAAAAATTAGAGAATGTAACTTTTTTGTACGCTTTTTCATTTGTGAATATTATTGACACTCTAAACAGTCACCGTGTGGTAACTAGATTCATATAAGTCGTTTAGAAAGTAGAATTGAGTGTAGAGATTAAATTATGTTTGAACTTTGTGGCACGTTCAGAAATTCCAGCATCTAGCTAGCTTGTGAAACTGCAATTTATTCGACCCTTCTTATTGATGGAGGGAAACAAATAAAATTAAAAATTAAAAAACACAACTATGTATGAATACAATTTTGACTCACACATGACACAACTATAAACAAAAGATGACCGGCCGGCGACGGCGAGCCACTTAATAGAGTGGCCTTTCTTCGTTCTGTTGAGGTGTTAGATCTGGTGTTGTTGGGGCACTTTGCCCTTGAATATTCACCTCAAATTGATTCATCGCTACTTCTGCGTATTTCCCCACCATCTGGGGATCTATTGGCCCTCCTTGTGATGGCTGGCCGTTAGGCATGTTGCCACCACCGTTTTGCCCTATAAAATGCACAAAAATAGGAGTCACAATAGTTCATAATTTCAAGCATATAGACTAATTACTAAAATATTGAGTAAATCCACATAACTTGTCGTTGGGTATCATGACACTAACATGAGAGAACCTAGAATCATCAGGTCGTTGAATTAAATGATTGTTTAGACCATTTAATATTTTGTAGGTATATATATCGACACGTTATTGACTACTGACACGTCAATCATACTATTGATACTTTGAATGGATGTTTGTCGATATGCTTGTCAGTAGAAATCTAGCTGAAAACTAAATGCTAATGTGAGGACATCTTATTATAGGTGGCTAGATAAGACACACGGTCAAACTCTTCAACCCAAGATTTCCCCACTAACAAAATTGAGACTTACATACAATACGCCACTAAGGTGGTATTGCATACTAATTATGCGTTATTAGTTTAGAATATCGGTGAAAAGTTGTTTGTCGCGTGATAAGTCCTACTATTTTTAATTGGCCAGATAGGTCGCTACCTAGGTTTACTACCTGTTTTAACGATGATGTATTACACAATATGATACTCAGAGATTAGGTTGTATGCTTAATTACCTGCATAGTGTGCTGCAATTGCTGCTCTTCTCCTGTTACCGCTGCTTATAACACAAACTATGATTACCACAATGACCACAAAAACAATGATAGCTGGAACTGTAACTCCAATAATTAATGGTAGCTTGCTGCTTTTCTTCTTGCTGCTGCCACCACCAAGAGAAGAGCCATTATCACTATCAGCTGGAATTATTGTCTTACAGGTCGCGCCGGCGGCACAAAGATCAGGATTTCCCGACGACCTTCATCCCCAGAAAATAGAAGTTCAAACTGTCAACACAAAAGCAAAGAAAAAAGAGAAATATATATACAAAAACAGAACCGGTTCTATATAAACTCTTTTTTTTTAAATAAAAAATAGAACTTGAGGAACACTAACCCGAGAATAATATGACACTAAATCGTAGCTCATATGATATGATCTAGTTTCCGTATTTTTTTTAAACTTGTTATCAATTCTATTTGTCCATATTACATCAAGGGAGAAAAAGGAATAAGTATACTTACACTAATTTCAGCTTGGTATTCGTTGAAATTGTGGTGGGAATGGGTCCACTGAGTTTATTGTCTGCTAAATTCCTAATACAGGAGAAAAATTATGGTTAATTATACAGAAAGTAGCAAGAATATAATATGCTAGGAGACAGTTTCTGGGAAAATATTACAACTGGGTTAGTTTAGGTAAGGTGCCAAGAAAATCAGGAATGGCTCCACCCAAGCTGTTGTTGTGCATGTCTCTGCAATTCAAAAAATAATTTGCAAGTGCATTGGTTAGAATCTAAAAAACTATTTAAACAGGTTCCTTTTTTTATTTAATTATATTTTTCAGTTTATATTATTTTCTTTTCACCAACTAACTAGCGGTGTTCAGTGATAGCTTACATTGTCTGAAGAGCATCAAGGGAGCTGAAGTCTGGAAGTTGGCCAGAGAGACCATAGCCACTCAGGTACCTGAAATCTCAAGTGCGTTGCAAATTAATGAATATATAATATAATTGAAAATTTAACATAAAAATAAAAAGGTTTAAACTTGGGAAATTTTTTTAAGTAATTACAGTGCTGTTACGCGGGGTGTAATATCAGAACTGCAATTGACCCAGTCCCAGGTAAATGGAGAAGGGAGGCATGGGTCACCAGTCCATTCCTGTAATATACTGAACTTGTCTTGCAATATACCTAACCCTGTCACTGATATGTAGCAAAAGAAAACCCACAAAAAAGGAAAAAAATCGTCAATTTCGGAATGTAATAACTAGAAAATGCACACACAAAATAATGAGCTCATTGATGGTCATATAATGATATTAGATGTAAATCATGCTATGTTATTAGGCTCTGAATATGATCAACGCTATTGAGCGCCTTGTTTCAACGATAAGATGGGAGTATGGATTCACGTTCACATGTGAACGTGAGCAGTAGTACTATATTCCGGGGATCCTCAAATCGTATTCCTTTATCGTACATTGTACGACCAGTTTTCGTCAGGTACTGTTCATGTTTAATTTTAAATAAAAATATTTAGAATGATTTATGACTGTACGATGTACAATGAACGGACACAGTTTGAGAATTCTCAGGATTCTTACAAAGAGGATCCGGAGAGGATCCTCGTGCATGAATTATCATAGTATGATAAGATTAAGGACTCGAATACCAACCGTCATTGCTATCCGTTCCACCCGTTAACGGACCACTGACATAATAAACTTCCATGGCATTAATCAACGGTGGAAGTGTCGAATCGGCAGTAGCTACCAGAGAAATATTTGTGCTAGAAGAAGCAGTAATGTTGGTAATATACATCTCAGTGACAGTTCCATAGACAGGAACAATGGGGTCCGACTCCGACTTGCCATCGATGTAAATCTCGAAGGATCTGGTTTCGGACGTGGTCAGTTGGCTCATTTCGGTGAAGTACATGATGATGTAGATGGGAACTTTATCGGTCGGAAGATCAGTGCCCAGACTAATTGATACGGAGGGTTTTGAGGTAGTTATTGCATACTGGAAAGCAGCAGCTGGAGGCTGATCTGGCACAGAGGTATCAATAATATGTAGATCGTTTGTGAGTTTACTAATCCATCTCCACCCTCCACTGGCTCCCAAATCCGATCATAATCATCACTTGGGTACCTAGAAAACCCACACACATATAAATATATTAATATCGCATGGAATTTGATTGTCTCATGAAATAAATAAATTGAAGTCAACTTAAGTAGGATTAGTATATACTATAGACTTTTGATAAATTATGGACTATATGTGGATCCTACATCCAGAGGTCGCACTTGCTGTGATGGCAAGTGCCTTCGCCCATGAGCGGTAGGTCTCGGGTTCGAGACTTGGGAGCAGCCTCTCCATAAATGGGGGTAAGGCTAGCCGACATTCACCTCTCTCAGACCCTGCGTAAAGCGGGAGCCTTGTGCA